AGCACTACTACTACTACTACTACTACTACTACTACTACTACTACTACTACTACTACTACTACTACTATTACTACTACTACACTACTACTACTACTACTACTACTGCTACTACTACTACTACTACTACTACTACCACTACTACTACTACTACTACTACTACTACTACTACTACTACTACTACTACTACTACTACTACTACTACTACTACTACTACTACTACTACTACTACTACTACTACTACTACTACTACTACTACTACTACTACTACTACTACTACTACTACTACTACTACTACTACTACTACTACTACTACTTCTACTACTACTACTACTACTACTACTACTACTACGCTAATTACAACTACTACTACCATTACTACTACTACCACTACTACTACTACTACTACTACTACTACTACTACTACTGCCGCTACTCCTACTACTCCTACTACTACTACTACTACTACTACTACTACTACTGCTATTACTACTACTACCACCACTACTACTACTACTACTACTACTACTACTACTACTACTACTACTACTACTACTACTTCTACTACTACTACTACTACTACTACTACTACCACCACTACGGCTGCTACTCGTACGAGTTCGTCTTCATCTACAACTATTACCATTATTTCTACTTCTACTACTACTACTACTACTACTACTACTACGACGACGACAGCTACGACTACTACTTCTTCTTTTTCTACTACTACTACTACGACTACTACTACGACTACTACTACTACTACTACTACTACTACTACTACTACTACTACTACTACTACTACTACTACTACTACTTCTGCTCATGCACGCAGGTTGCGCGGCACGACCCCTGGCATATGGAAAGAGCATCGTATGCCAGGGGGAACGTTTCCCCTGCGCGAGGATCGTCAGCCGCGCTACGGCTGATCCAACAAAAACCACTTGTTCTTAACCTGATACAGTCCCCGTGCCAGGTTAGCCAGCCAACACTCGATAACCCCAGGCTAGCGGTGCTAGCTGACCTGGGCACAGGGCAAACAACGCAGGTGAGCCCATGCCAGTCGAGCCACACACTGCGCATGCAACACCCCCCTTGTCAAGATCCGCAAGACGGGGCGGGTGGACCACGCGGGTGCAATCTCGAGCGCGAGCGAGGGCCATGCGGACAGCAGCAAGGTCAGCCTGCCTGAACCCCTGAGAGGTGGCAGGGGGGCTCCTCCTCCTGCTCCTCCGCCTCCTCCTCCTCCTCCGTAGCCATTTTGGCTCAAGGCCAAATGGCGATCCATCCACTGCCTCAGCGGGGTAGGCTCCCATTGCTTTCAGCGATCCTCTTTGCAGCAACCATCTCGGGCGAGCTGCCGCCCGCAGCCTCCATATCCGCAGCGCATCCGAGAGGCGAGCTGCCGCCCAGCCCTCCCGCGCGCGCCGCCGTTGGCTCGGAGTCATGGCAGTCGGCCGTGGACCCAATCCTCGTGGCCAACATCAGCGAGCACCTCCTCGGTCTCCCCAGCCCCGAGCTGGATCAGGACGGCCCGCGTGCGACTGCGCGATATGCAAGCAGTGCCGGTACCGATGGACGTGGAAGGGCAAGTCCGAGCGCTTCTCGCGCGACAGGGCCTTCGCCCCGTCCCCGTCGGAGCACAAGCAGCCAGAAGGTGCCTGGGCCCCAGAGCCGTGGCGGACCGGACCGCCACCAGCCAAGAAGGACTACGGCAACCCGCCGCCCTCCAAGGACGGCATCCTCCAGGCCCTCAAGCTCCTCCTCGACGATGAGAAGCATACGGGACTGGTCGACCAACTACAGGATGCGCTACAGGACCCCGTACCACCGCCGCCAGCGCGGACGGCGGAGCAGGCTCTCCAGTCCGCCCTCTCCGCCCTCACCGACCGCGAGCGGAAGTTCCAGCAGACCGCGGGCGACGTGGAGGCCGCAGAGCTGTGGCTGGCCGACGCCGAGGCCCGCCAAGAGCAAGCAGCCCTCGACCTGCTCAAGGCCAAACGGGCACGCGAGCAGGCCCAGGGGGAACAACAACATAAGCTTGGAGTTGGGCCCGCGCCACCTCCCGTTCTCAAAGCCGACGAGCTGTTCCGCGTCGACACCACCATCTGGGACGACCTCGGGGAGCACGACGACTCCACCAAGCAGCAGATGGAGCAGTGGAAGAAGGACCTGGACGAACGTCTCAAGGAGCTCCACGAGGGCCAGGAGCTCATGAGCGAGATCCTCCGCCAGGCCAAAGAGTCCGCCCAGAACCCTGCCAAGCGCAAGCGTGGGCGAGAACAAGAGCCTGCCGAGCCTGCCGTCGTCGACCCAGCCGACATCCCTGTGGGGGGGCAACCCGCGGGAGGTGGCGCCCAAGCACCTGCGGGTTCCACTGCAGATGAGCCTCGCGAGGGCAAGACCAGCGCTGCAGACCGTGAATCCGCTGCGGCCCTCATCGCCGACTCAGTCGCCAGGGCTAAGCAGATGGCCGCCTCCGCCGAAGGGAATGGCAGGTCAGGATCCGAGTCGCCAGCCAGCCAGAAGTCGGGGCAACGCCGACCTCAAGGCCCAGATCCTACTCGGCAGCATCACGGAGTGGGGGCCGCAGGCCGCGAACTGCTGCCGCACCATCGGCTACCAGTGCCACATGCTCGAGCTCGCGGAGACGCACGTCGACGCCAGGGCCTCGGCGACCTGCTCGGGAAGCTCGCCATGGATGGATGGAAGATGGCTGCCACTCCCGCCACCCCGACCCACAAGTCGGACGTCGGCACGCACGGCGGAGAGTGGGTGCTGGTGCGACGGGACGTCGCGGCCACTACCATCGAGGGATACAGGGAGCACTACCTCCAGACCTACAAGCGCCAGCCGTTCGTGAGCTTTTCGCCCACCATCCTACCCACCAGGAGCGGCAACGTGATCGTCATGGCCGCGTACTTGCGGCCAGGCCTCCGTGACACGGGGGGCCATTCGCGACATCCTGATGTCGATATCTACGTTCCTCGACATGCTTGCTGATCCGTGGATCATCTTGGCTGACTGGAACTACGAGCCGCCATGGTGGAAGGACAAGCCGTGGCTTAGCCGCTGGAATGGTGCCATCGTCACCGACCCTGCGTGCACCGCCACGCGCGACAAGGGCAAGGGCTCCGTCTACGACTACGCGATCGTCAGGTCCGACATCGCATCCCGCATCACCGTAGGGGCGGTCTACGACGTGCCGTGACCATCGGCGGCATGCAGGTCACCATCGGCGACGCCGAGCCCTGGGGCTACCGCGCTATAAAGGTCCCCAAAGCCCCACCCGCTCGAGCCAGGCCTAAGAGGGGCCCTGATCCGATGAGTAAACGGTCGAGAGCTCGAGCGGAGGCCTTGCGAACCAGGAGGGGTAGGCTGCCCGAGCATCCCCGGCCGCGAGCATCGCGGCCACGTACTCCAAGTTCCAGGGCGACCGAGTGGGCACCATGGAGGGCAGGGGCCGCATCTTCCACGCGCATGCCCCCCTCCAGACAAAGCAGATCAACACTGCCTACGCGCACTGGGTCGCCACGCTCGAGATCGCGTTTCTGGCGGCCCACGCTGTCCCAGCCGAGGGGGGGGCAAAGTGCCAAGGCAGGGCGCAGGGCTACCAGACGGCCCACCAGGTCATGAAGGCGACCCCTGGCCGTGCGTACCCCAACGACCCCGAGGCTAGCTGGTGGCAGCAGTTCGGCACGCTCCTGCAGCGCTTCGCGGCGCTAGTCAAGAATGGCAAGCACGTGGAGGCGCGGGATTCGATTGCGAAGCGCGCCCAGACGATGTTGAATCAGCTCGACAGCAACGACGACCACAAGAAGTACATCGGCCCCAAGGTCGACCCCGCGGAGGTTGAGGAGTGGAAGCTGCAGGTGGCCCCCCTGGACTTCTGCGACGAGCACGACCTCGACCACATCTGCGCGACCACCCAGCGCCGGCAGCACGGCGCCACAGCCAGGGCTGCGGGCAAGGCCCGCAAGCGCTACCTGGACTGGGCCAAGCGGACCTGGAAAGAGTCCCCAGGGAAGCTCCACCGCAGCATAAAAGATCCGAGCCCACCGAAGCTCGAGACCAAACTCCACGGCGTTACCTTCGCCGACCCCTACACCGTCATGAATAGGGCCGCTAACGCCTGGAGGCAGATATGGACCACCTACTCCTACGGCGAGCAGCAGACCACGCAGGCCTACTTGGAAGCGATGCGCAAGGCGAGGGAGGGCCCGCCCCCCTGCATCGAGGCGCAGCACATCTACGCGGTGGCCTGCGTGGCGGACCCCAAGAAAGCTCGCGAGGTCGACAACATTGGGCCCCTCGACATACAGAGACTGCCCCCCAACGGCATCAACCAGCTGGCCCAGCTCTACAACTTCGTCGAGTCTACTGGGCTATGGCCGCAGCAGTTCTGCGCCACGGTTGGCGCGATGGCTCCCAAGCCTGCTTGGGGCGAGCGCATACTCGGCATGCCCCCCACCACCCCAAAGACCTGGGGCAAGATCCGCGTCACGATCACCGACCAGTGGTCCAGGGAGCTGCGGAGGTTTGGGACACCGCCATCAAGGGCTCCAGCGCCCTACGGGCCGCCTTGACAAGGGCCCTCCTCGACGAGACGGCGGCGGCCCTAGGCTTCTCCTACGCTACCCTCCTCATGGACGCCGAGAAGTTCAATGGCTCAGCCAATTTCGCCAAGCTCCTGGATACGGCAATCCAGGTCACATTCCTTCCCATAGTAGTCGCGCTGGAGGTGCAGCTGTTCATGGCCTCCAGGTTCCCGCGCATGCGCGGCTGGGTCAGCGACATCATCGACCCGCAGCGCCCCATCGTCGCTGGCAGCGCGCACGGAGGGAAGCCTGCCAAGGTCTACTCGGGCCCCGCCCTGGCCAAGGCCCACCACAACTACGCCTGCGCGGGCCCGTGGACCTTCGTCGACGACACGGTCGCAAGGACCGAAGGAGAACCCAAGCAGGTCGCCAGGGACCTCGCAGACGTAGGCGCCATCTTGTGCGATGGCACGGCCGAGACGGAGCTCAAGGTGTCCCCGAAGACCACGGTGATTGCGTCCTCGGCTGCGGTTGCCCACAACGTGCACGCCCACCTAAGGCGCGCGGGCAACTCCATCAAGGCGCCCCGCACCGCGGTCGGCCTGGGCATCGAGACCGTCGGAGCCCGACGCAGAGTGGCGGCCAAAGCTACTCAGAAGGCGCAGAAGGCCAAGCGCAGGACTGGACGCATCATCTCCAAGATCCGCAGGCACGCCTCGCTCGCCAAGATCGCGAAGGGCCTCTGGGCAACGGGATCCCGCCCGCAAGGCACCTGCGGCCACCAGGTCATGGGCCTCTCCCCGTGCACCATCACCGAGCAGAGGCGTCAGGCCGTGCAGGCCGCAGCGGGGAAGGTCCCTGGGCGCTGTCTCACAACCGCCGTCGCCGTGATCCTGGGCGACAAGGACCCAGGCATTGAGCCCAGATGGCAGACCATCCTGGAGTGGCTAGACTTCTGGTTCGCGAACCCGAACTACCATCATCGCATCGGCAAGGCCTGGCGGACCATCTACACGAAGGCCACCTGCAGCGGCACGAGGCGCTGGCGTCAGGTGGTGGGCCCCATCTCCGCCGTCCAGGCCATCCTACTTGACGCTGGGTGGGACTGCCCTTCGCCCTTTGAGTGGTCTCGTCAGCCCCGAGAGGGTGAGCATGTCGAGCAGACATGGCTCCTACCTCATAAGGGCTGCGGAGATTGGGAGCAGAGACGCGAGCAGGTCGACCCGTCGCAGCTGGCCCTGGAGTTCTGTAGTCCATCGAGAGCGGCTACTGGCAGGCCGCAGCGAAACATCCTGATGGAGATGGACTGCAGAGAGGAGGGGCCGACGTTCATATTGTGACGCACGAGATGAACAAGTTCATGCGCGACGGAGAGTACGACCAGTGGGCGCTGAACCTCTGCGTAGTGGCGGGAGCACAGTGGCCCCGCGGGCGTCTCGTCGAGGCGGGCTACCAGGCCGGGACCTCTTGCCCGAGGTGTGGAGGCGCCGAGGAGACGCTGATGCATCGGGTCTGGCTGTGCCCCAGCAGCCGCGACCACGAGGACTACGAGAAATCTGACGCCCTCCCCCCCTCAGCCCTTGCGCGCGCTGAGGCTGATCCTACATGCTGGCTCCGTGGCCTTGCCGCCCGTGCGGACACGCACCCTGTATTTCGAGATACGGGACGGGGCGGTGGGTGGAGCTGGGTTGGGCGGGACTGGGAAGGGCGTGAAGATTCGGATGGCCTCCTCGCCCTGTATGGCGACGGCTCGGGGGGTCAGTATAGCTCCGGCCCCCGTCGCCGCAGGGTAGGCGCCGCAATGATCCCCATGCAGTCTCGCTATGGGAAATGGATACCCTGGGGAGGCATCCTGTCAGGCTTGGATGGCCCATTTCAAACGGTGCCGCGTGCCGAACTCCTAGCTTTCGCGCTGGCCCTCGAACATTCGTTTGGCGACCTGCGCTATGGCACTGACAACATGCCCCTATTGGAGGGGTGGACGTCGAGCCGCCACCTGCAGCCCCAGGGGGCCAACCGTGATCTGTGGCAGCGCATTGGCCGCGCGATACAGAACAGGGGCCCAGGCGCTGTGCACGTCCTATGGGTGCCCTCACACAGCGAGGGCGCCACCAACCTGTCGCGTGACCCCGTTGCCTTCGCCCACACGCTAGGCAGCGCCTGTGCAGACGCGTGGGCGGGTGAAGCCGCCCGTCGCGCATGGGACGCGGCCATAGTTGGTGCCGCACCCCCGACCGACTTGCACGATGCTCAATGTGCTCTCATCAGGCGCCGTGCCCGTCGCGCGCTCGCTGATACCCTGGCCGTTGATCCTTGGGTCGAGGAGCGACCCTCGCAAGCAAAGGGGCAGCGCGCCACCCTGTTGCAGCGCGCCTTGCGTGCTAGCCTTCACTCCTTCGCGCCCCACGCGAGCAAGTACAGGTGCTCGAGTTGCGGAGTCACTGTGGGTAAGGCCCACATCCGCCCTGCATGTGCGACGCCGTGCCAGCCAATGGCACCCCAGCCTGTCGCAAGCGACCAGGTCGTCCCAGTACAGGGGACGGCCACGCTCTGTGGCCGCGAGCTGCACGCCTCACACAAGCTGCACTACATGCGAAAATCTTGCATGTACTTCTGCCGCGAATGCGGTAAGACAGCCACCGAAGATCCCAGGCACCTCGCCAGCCCGTGCGGAGGCCTCACCCGCAAGGGCAGTGATAATCTAGCAAAGATCGACAGAGGCCTTTTTACGCGCGCCCGTGCGGGTCGCGACGGCCTCACTCCGTATATCCGAGCGGCGTCCCACGGCATGGCCGTGGAGCAGGCCGCCGCTGCCGCCCTCACAGCCCCTGCCGCGAGCGATCCATAAATACCAAGGGTGGCCCCACGGCAAGGCCGTAGCTTTTTCGCGCCACCCGTCGCTCGCGGCAGCCCGACGCTGCCGCGCTCGTAGCCCCTGCCGCGAGCGATCCATAATACCAAGGGTGGCCCCACGGCAAGGCCGTGTTTTTTTTGCGCCACCCTTCGCTTGCGGCCGCTGCAGCTGGCGCTCTGGCACGCACCTTGGTGCGCATCATCGTAATCCTCGTAATCCTCCTCCTCCTCCTCCTCCTCCTCCTCCTCCTCCTCCTCCCGCTCCCTCTATCCCCCTCCCCCGCCTCCACTTCCTCCATCCCAGGCAACGCTAGGAATGCTCACAGGACAGCCGTGGGCTTTACAGCGATGCTGGCACTGGCGTCTCTTAGTGGTTTTTGCGCCAACCCCCTGAAGCCTCGCAGTCCCCCAGAAACTCCCATCGCCCTCCCACCCCGAGCATCTTGAGAAAATCGCGACGGCAGGTCTTTGATGCTTTTGGCCGCTCTAGGCCCTCACGGGGCCCAGGGATTGTCAAGAAACGACTCCAGACGAAAACCCGGTCCCTGCAGAAGGGGGTCCAGACCTCTGGGGGTCCACATTGCGAATCTAATCGCGACTTCTGGGGGTCCCCCCTTCACCACATTCCGCCCTCATCTTAGCCCGCGAAAAACAGCATGTCATGTAACTTTCTTCCGCCATCGGGGGCCTTGGACAACATAATGTTACGCCGTTCTTCGCCCATGCACATTATTCCTCGCGACTGCGGCATCAGTCCAGAGCTGGTCACACAAGAAGCCGAACCTGCCTAGTTCAAGGCAGGAAAGAAGAGAGGGAGACGAGAGGAGAGGAAAAGAGGACGGCCGTGCCCTCCACGCGCCTCCTCTCGCCCAACTTGCTGGCCCTCCACGCGCCTCCTCTCGCCCAACTAGCTTGCCCACGCTCTCACCCTTGCCCCTCCCTCCCCTTGTGCCCCCCCCACCCCTCCTGCTAGGCATCTGGCGACGACGACAGCGGCGACGACGACGACCACGGCGACGAGGAGGACAACGGCGACGACGAGGACGACGACGAAGCCGCCGCCGACGACCACGCTGCCGCTGACGACGTCCACGACGAAAATCACCACGAAGACCACCACCAAGACGACGCCCGCGACGACGACGACCACGACCACGACGACGACGGCCACGACGACGACCGACCGCAACGACGGCGACGACGATCGCAACGACGACGACCGTAACGACGACGACAACGAAGACGACGACCGCAACAACGACGACGCCGACGACGACGACGACAACAACGACGACGACGATCGCAACGACAGAAACCACCACGAAAACCACCACCAAGACGACGACGATGACGACAATAACGACGACAACCACGACGACGACGACGTCGACGACCGCCACGACGACGACGACGATCTCAACGACGACCGCAACGCCGTCGACGACCGTGACGACGACGACGTCACGACGACGGCGGCGACGACGGCGACGACCACGACGACCACGACGAAAGCCGCCAAAGCCCGACGAAGACCGAGGCCGCGCCGCGGCCAGCCGACGGCCCGCCGGGACGGAAAAGCCGGGGGCGGCCTGCTCTCCGCCGCGTGGCAGCCCATGCGCACCCTCGCGGGCGGGTTCCCCTGCCGGGGCTCGCCGACCTGGACGCTGTCCTCGGCGAGCGGCCCCTTTTTGAAGGGGCCCACACCAATAAATGCACACAAATAAAAAGATCCCCCATATTTTCCCATATGTTCTGGGTTTTTGTCTTCCCCCCCACTTCCCATAGTTTCCCATATTTTCGGGGGAATCGACGATTAATTGTGTCTGTGTGTTTTTTGTCCCCGCCTGACTTTTCTTGGGCGCGGCCTCACCGACCCCTCGCAAACCATCCCCTTCCGTGACGTCATCCTCGCCTTTCGAGCTCGCCTCCGGAGCCCATCCGCACCCTCGCGGGCGGGTTCCCCTGCCGGGGGTCGCCGACCTGGACGCTGTCCTCGGCGAGCGGCCCCTTTCTTGTTGGGCGCCCGAGTTATCCGGGGTAACTCGGGCCCGGGGTAACTCAGATTTGGATTCCCGAAAAACGAACCCGAGTTAGCCCTGACCCGAGTTATCCCTGATGATTTGGGGCTCTGGACGCCCGAGCTATCCGGGGTAACTCGGGCCCGGGGCAACTCGGGTTCGGATTCCCGAAAAATAAATCCGAGTTAGCCCTGACCCGAGTTACCCCTGATGATTCGGGTCTCTGATCTTGGGCGCGGCCTAACCGACCCCTCGCAAACCATCCCCTTCCGTGACTTCATCCTCGCCTTTCGAGCTCCCCTCCCGCCGCAGACATGCATCTCGGAGCGAGGCGAGGAGGCGTCACGGAAGGGGATGGTTTGCGAGGGATCGGTGAGGCCCCGCCACTGATCTTCAGACGCTGCGTGGCGTTCTTTCCCGCCTCGCGCCCGGGCCCCGCCGGACCGGGGACTAGACAAGGTCTTAACAGAGTGTCCGGCCTGGTCGGCGACTCTTGGCGACCTGGTCGGTGGCACTATTGCACACTCCTCTCGTCGCCGACCCGGTCGGCGACGAGGAGGCGTTCTTAACAGCCATGATGGGGCAAAGTGG